GACATTGACATCTTTTGTTTCGAGGCAGGCTATTGCCTTTTCTGGTCATCCCTTCTATTTGTCAGCCTCACATTTCCTTAAGAGAATGATTTATGTAGCTGAAGCACCAAGTAAGAGCTAGGTGCCGGTACTTTGGTTGAAGGAAACTTATAATTTACGAAGACTAACAAATCTGGCGCATCGGCCTGCGGACTAGCTTCCTGTTTAGATTGTTAAGTATAGTTTTAAACAACACACAAAAGACAAAAAGGTCAACCCGATAGTCCGCAGTGATTCACCCAAAGCGACACTCATGATTTAGCTCAAAAAGAAGGGGCGGCGGGGCGGGGGGCAGTGTTCTAGAAGGCAGAGGACTCATCAGGGCAAAGACCATACGAGAAAAAACAAGTGAGTTTACAGCTGAGCGTAAAAAAGAAGCTACGAAAGTCAGGCAGGCGACCAACCATCGCAGTTCCCTTCGCAGCACATTAAGATTTCAGACTCCTTATGTCCCTAAACCTAAAACAAGTAGCAACCCCTGGCCTAAAATCACAGGAAATAGCAGAGAAGGTCAAAGAGTTCCACAAATTCTTGTGAAAAATGGGAATAAAATGACTGTGAGGGCAGAAATGGCACAGTGCGGCCACTGTGAATATCACGCTGGAAGTACCAGTGGTGATCCCGTATGAATTATAAACCAGGATTGAAAAATACACGTGTCCGCGTGCTGACAAAAAAAAAAAAACACCTGGGGGGAGAACACCAAGAAAAAAACAAAACAAATAAAACCGAGGATAAAAAAGTAAACAGGGGAAGGAGACAGTATTTCCTTAACGAAAAGTCAGCGTAAAATGTATGGACAAGAAAATCCACTAAATCAAATATAGGATCTCTTTTATTGATTATAAAATGGACAAAGAAACGATAAAAAAACTTAGTAAATTCTAATAAAGTCTAGAGTTTATAATACTGTTAATTTCTTATTTCTGATAACTGTATTTCTTGGCGGCGGTAAGTGAATTAATATTTTAAGGAAAGCTATGGGAGAAGTAAGTACTGGGAACTCTGCACACTTAACTTTTCTATAAGTCTAGTGTTATTCAAAATTTAAAAAAATTAATTGCTGCTATCACCGTTCTTCCAGTCATCAGCCAACATGAAGTCTTGTGACGCAGCACCTCAACTCACCTGCTTCAGGTTCAGTGACGTAGACTGGATAATATTCCAACCTGGTTCACTGAAACGGGCAGAAACTCCTAGACCACTATCATAGTATCTGATCTAGACTGGGCTCCGCTAAGGGGACAGGGGAGGGCATTTTAAAAAATCCACGAGGCCTAAGAATAGTAGATTGGTCAATGACGCTAAGGGATGGAGGGAGGACTTCCAGTCAAGACACACCTGGAAAACCCAAATTTAACAACCCATCTGAGAAAACCAGTGCTAATAAAGAACCAAGAAATGATACTCAGCAAGAAAAATCACTTCACGACAAAAGAACAATATGAAAAGGATTTAGTATACTACAGTAATAGGGTATTGGGGAGGGGGGGAGGGGGGCGGGTATATACATACATAACGAGTGATATGCGCACCATCTGAGGGATGGTCATGCTGGAAACTCAGACTTGTGGGGGGAGGGGGAGAAGGGCACTTATTGAAACCTTAAAATCTGTACCCCCATAATAGCCGAAATAAAAAAAAATAAAAAAAAAGAAAAGTCCAGGACTGGATGGCTTCACTGGGTGAATTCTACTCAACATTTAAAGAAGAATCTATACCAGTCTTTCTTAAACTCTTTGAAAAACGTTGAAGAGGGGGAAACACTTTCTCATTTATTCTATGAGGCTAGCCCTGATAACCAAAGCCACACAAAGACATCACAAGAAAAGAAAACTATAGACCGTTATCCCTTATGAATGTAGATGCAAAACCCCTCAATAAAATACTAACAAAGTCCAACAGTGTATTAAAAGGATTATATACCATGACCAAGTGGGATTTATCCCAAGACTGCAAGGGTGGTTCAACATAAGAAAATCAACCAATGTTATTACACCAATTCAAATGAAGGGAAAAAACCCCACATGATCATCTTGACTGATGCGGCAAAAGGATTTGACAAATATCCAACAGCCTTTCATGCTAAAAACAGTAAGCTAGGAAAAACGTCAACTTCCTCAACATGATAAATAGCATTTATGAAAATCCCACAGTTAACATCTTGCTCAATGGTGAAAAAGACTGAAAGTTTTCCCCCTAAGATCAGGAATAAGACAAGGATGCCCACTTTCACCACAGCTATTCACCATTGTACTGGAAGTTCTAGACAGAGCAATTTGGGGAGAACAAGAAACAACAGTAAAAA